GATTGTCAGCCCACTGCCCCTCCGCTCCTACCACCGGTTCCTCACCTGCCCTGCTGGCGCCTTCTGCCAGGGCTTCTCCGTAGCCATCCACAGGGCTCTTGCCGCCTCCGATAACGTGGCAATCTTGCATGTAATGGGTTGTGTCATTCAACAGCCGCCCATTCGGTCAATTAAGGAGTGGCACCAATTCATTCCTATGCAGGTCCTGCAGCCCCCCCCAGATGCTGCCCAGCACGGACACCAGTGCTGCCAGCCCCTGTGGGAGCCGGGCACGGGGCTGGGGGCAGGATTGCCGGGCTGGGGATTGCTTTCACACAGCTCAGATTTGAGCTTATAGTTTATTTATCCTCTGCCAGTACAATAAACGTGGTCGGGGAGCTTGCTTCTCTCCAAGTTCTTAAAAGACCTTTATGTTCTGTGTTTGAATTCTGCTGTTAATTGGTTTTGATGACTAACTTCTCTGTGGAGTTTATCTTTTAAAAAGCAAGTTGATTGCAAAGTTTAAAACGGTTATTAAAAAAAAAAAAAAAAAAAAAGACCTGATAACAACAAAAGGGTAATCAGAGCTAGCATAAAAATATCAGTCTTTGTGTTTGGAAAATATTTTTAAATGGTGAAAAGAAGAAAAACCCGTTGTTTTCAGACAGCTAATGCAAGCATTTACAGATACACATACAACATGGAGCATAATGTTTAGATGTTTCTCCGTATACAACATATGCTCTCAGGTCACTTAACAGAATGCGTTCTACAAAATGCTTCTTCAATACAAATGAATGAGTTCTGAATTAAACAGCTATTTCTTAAGAGCATTTCATTCAAATCTTTTGTTTTTGCCACCTGGCACTTGTTTTGTCTGAAAAAAAAAAAAAAAATCAGCAGCGGGTAGTTTGAGCTTTGCTGTTGTGGTTAGTTGTGTATTCCCGTGACGAGCGTGGCTGAGTGGTGAAATCTGGACATACAATGGCTCGCGTAAAGCATCTGTGCTGAATTTGGGTTCACTTTTTTTGGTGAAATTTATTAATTTATGAGGACTATTAGCTTTTGTTACTGTGAGAAAGGAAAACAGAAATGCTTCAGATTTTTTTAGGAAGTTTTAATGGGTTTACTAACTTGTAAATATTTTATCCTGGAAAAATATGGAACACCACAGATGTTCGTATGTTTGAAGGAATAACGTGCGGTGTGAGTGCTCTGCTAGTAAGTGCAGGGAGGACCTGAAGGACAAGTTTTATGCTACCTGTGTCATCTTAGGGTGATTTTACCGTGCCAGAAGACAGAGAGTGATGCTAAATTGTTTTAGCATTAACAGTCTTGTAAAATGTACTGTTAAACTGGGAGTAGCAAATGTGGGGACCAGTTCTGCTACGTATAATAAAACCAAATAGCTCCAACCGATGTTTATATTTGTAATGAAGAAATAAGAAACTTTTCAAAGAAAGCCAAAGCAATACAAATGACTCTTGAGGGAGAGCACATCTGTGGAAGGGTTGGATAAAAATGGAGATAAGTATAGGAGAAATCACCCCCAGAACCAGACTGAAAAGGAAGGAAAACCCTTTCCCACAGTATTTTGGCATCTGCTGGGGGTGGGAGGGGTTGCCTTCCTGCTGCGGTGCTGGGGGCTGACACCTTGTGGGAATGACTGTCAGGATGAGGTGGAATGGGCAGGGTTTGGGTGACCTACCTGCAAAACCTGGAGTGGGCATGGCGGTCACCTGGGTCACTGGACTTCCTGAAGAGACCAGAAGTGGACGTTTGGCATGGGGTCAGGCAGAGGGGCTCGGGAGCTTGCTCCCAGGGTGCCCGCAGTGTCAGGACCAAGGGAGGGGGCAGAAACCTTGGGAATGGGGTACCAAGCAGAGTCTAGCAATGTCTTTCGTTTCTGAGGCATCACAGAAAACATCTGGGAGGAGCAAAATGGGTGTCAGAGTGACCCACAAGCTGAAAGTCAGGCTGGGTGAGGGAAATTTGGACAGAAAGTATGTAACGATGGGGTGACTTGTCTGCGGAGGAGTAATAAATAAAGACTCATGGGGACAAACTGCCTTTTAATGTACATGATCATAGCTTTAGTTGCTTCAGTGGTTTCTGACATCTACTCAAATGGAAGGTTTGATGCTTTAGTCCTAGCCGGTTCTTTTTTAGCTTATAAAATAAATATTATTTATTATGTTTTATTTTTATCTTCAGGACTATTCATTAAAGTGTTCTTCCCATTATTAGCAGAGAAACAAGAATATGAATTGAACAAAGAGAAAATACAAAGTTGAATTCCAATATATAGCAGCAAGATGCCAAATGCTGTGTTGCATGGTGGCAGAAATACTAACCTCTCCACATCAGTAGCAAGATCCACTTTGATACCGCAACTTCAAGTACTGCCCCACGAGTATAAAACTCAGTATCTTTTGTCTAACCCAGAATGCTTTTGAACTTTTAGGAGGTATGACTTTAATAGTAATTTGTTGACAGATAAGCTGCAGAGATTGCAAAGAGTTTATTTTGCAGAACTGGCAGGCTCCTATCAGTGTTCTCCTAAGGAAAAAAACACACATTGCTGTTTTGCAATTGCTTGCAGTTATTGACAACCTGCGCTGAGCAGGCAGAATTGGAATGTTTGTATAATGTAAACCTATAGCTTGTCTGATGGAGGGTAGTGTACTTTTAGGTAGCGCATAGATTGCTTGATAAAAGGGGTTACAAGATGACTGTGCTTATGACAAACTGGAATAGCGATATAAATGCAACTGGTGCGTGGAGAAACAAGGAGGAAGTTTATATAAAGAATTGTAGGGAGGTTTCTTCACTTTGAGCTGAGCTATACTGTAATTATGAAGTGTCACTTCAAGACTTCTGAAGAGTTTAGATAAATACTGGTTTTGCCATGTGTCCACAAAGTAAGGAAAGAAGGGGATTTTGCCTTGAAAAAAATTGACAGCATTCTATATATATTTCATTGCATCTGGTTTTGTACTTTTCACACTTTTATTCCACTGAATGTATACAAATGAAAAACACAGTTTAGGTCACGTATAGGGGATAAAAAGAATATTTGATAGACATAAAAAATGTGGACTGTGTTCTGGTGTCAGTTCCCAAGTCAATGATTTTCTTCACAGTCGGTCTCACTGACTGCAGTTGGGGGGTTTGTGGTGTCGATGCGAAGATGCCACAGTTGGGCCATTTGGCAGTAGTTGTTTTGAGAAATGTTGAAATGTAAAGTGTTAGATTGAGGGAAGCAAACTCCAGAGGGAATATGTGTTTTTTTTCAGATTTTGTTCATGTCCAAAGATGAGGAAAATGTACAAGAAATGGGGGATTTTTTGTGGTGTTGAGAGGCTGCTTTAATCGAGCAGATCAAAATGAAGATTTGATTAGAAAGAATTTTGAGTATATCACAGTGTAAAATAATGTCTTTTTTTGTTTGTTTGTTTGTTTTTGTTTTTGTTTTTTTTTTAGTAGTTTCCTGAGTTGCATCTTATTTCGAAAACCCATGGGGAGAGGTTACAAACTGCATCAGGACTTTTATGGTCCCATTGATCATGTTGTGG